AATTACTGAAAAGGGTGGCTGTTCACAGAGTGCTGTATCAAAGCATATTAAATGCAGAGTTGACTGGAAGGAAGAAATTGGGTAGGACAAAGCATATTAAAGGCAGAGTTGACTGGAAGGAAGAAATTGGGTAGGAAAATGTGCACAAGCAACAGGGATGACCGCAAGCTTGAGAATACTGTCAAGCAAAGCCGATTCAAACACTTGGGAGAGCTTCAGAAGGAGTGGAGTGAAGCTGGAGTCAGTGCATCAAGAGACACAATGCTCAGACGTCTTCAGGAAAAGGGCTACCAAGCCACTTCTGAAACAGAAACAACGTCAGAAGCATCTAAGGAGAAAAAAAACTGGACTGTTGCTCAGTGCTCCAAAGTCTTTTCAGAGAAAAGTAAATTTTGCATTTCATTTGGAAATCAAGGTCTGGAGGAAGACTGGAGAGGCACAGAATCCAAGCTGCTTGAAGTTCAGTGTGAAGTTTCTGAGGTCAGTGTTGATTTGGGGTGCTGTGACGTCTGCTGGTGTTGGTCCATTGTGTTTTATCAAGTCTAAAGTCAATGCAGCCATCTACCAGGAGATTTTGAAGCACTTTATGCTTCCATCTGCTGACAAGCTTTATGGAGATGTTGATTTCCTTTTCCAGGAGGACTTAACACCTGCCCACAGTGCCAAAACTACTTCCAAGTGGTTTGCTGACCATGATATTACTGTGCTTGATTGCCCAGCCAACATGCCTGACCTGAACCCCATATGAAATCTATGGGATATTTTCAAGAAAAAGATAAGAAACAGTGGATCCGAGCTGAAGGCTCAATAGTGAGCAGTGCCACAGGCTGATAGCTTCCATGCCACACCTCACTGATGCTGGAGTTTGTGCTAAAGGAGCCCGACCAAGTATTGAGTGCATAAATGAACATACTTCAAAGAACTTGAACTTTTCAGTTTTGCAAATCCTTTTTTTTTTTTTAATTGATCTTAGGAAATATTTTAATATTTTGAGAAACTGGATTTTTTGCTTTCATGAGCTGTAAGCGCTAATCATCAAAATTAACAACAAAAAAACCTTTGAAATGTTTTACTTTACATGTAATGAATCTAGAATATATAAAAGTTTAACTTTTTGAAATGTTACAAAAAATATATATAATTTTTTGAGATGCACCTGTACAGTATATAGATATTTTATGAACTGGATAGTACTGGGACTGTTGTGGTGTATGTATATATATATATATACGGTCTGTTTACCATATCAATGCGCAGCTCCCATAATAGATCATTATGTTTGTTGCACAGCAACACTCTTATTACATAAGAGGCTATATATTCTATAGCATGTGGAGACCACTTAATCAATTTGCTAACATTTTAGTAAAAATGTATTCTTAATATTTACATATTTAACATTTTAAAAATATATCTATTTTTATTTAAAATTGTAAAATATAAAAAAATAGACCACAAAAATAAAATATTTTTATATTTAAATTTAATTGAACTTTTATGTATAGTGTTTTGATGTGCAGTTTTTGCCTGCTCTATAATGCATGTATTTATTTAATCAAACAATAATACTGTAAAAATAATATTACAATTTCAGAGATCCTTCACAAATCTCTGTTATATTAATTTGGTACTCAAGAACATTTAATTTTCACTGTTAAAACTAGTTATTATTTTAATATTTTTCTGGAAACAAGATTATTTGATGTATAGAAAGGTAATAATAATAATAGCATTTATTTGCATGAGAAATAGTTTGTGTAACATTTTAAATCACTTTTGATCGACATGTTCTTACAGAATACAGGTATTAATTATTATTTTTTTATTAAAAATAAATATGCTGACCACAAAATTGGACTAGCAGTGTATATCGAAGGAGCGATCGGAGTCATATATAGAGACCAGAATATCATAGAGATCTAATAGCCTTATCAGCTGCATAGCAACATTATAAGAACGGTATCATTTTATCATTTGCTGCCTGCTTTTTTATTTTATTAAATTAAGACCAAATTACGCACATAAGGAGGTTTACTAAATGTTACTTTAATACGACTAATGTAAATCGGAAAACTGTTTTCTTAGCACCTCTGTGTGTGTGTGTTAATGAGACCCACATCAATGGTTTTCCTGCAGAAACCGCATGCTAGTTATAGAAACTTAATAGCTTATCATGTGAACCACAGAGTGCCGGTTATTTTTTTTAGGGAAATAGAGGCAAGCAAAACTCTCATCTCCTTTTTAATTTAAAATCTTTCCTCTCAAGCTGTGGACGGAAATACTTCAATCACTCCTGTAGTATATAATGATGTAACACCCGAGCTGCTTACATGAGCGAAAACTGGATCAGCACACATTTAGTGTGTTTTATCAAAATCCACAGCATTCAGAAACTTCATTACACAATCTAAACACCACCGAAAACAGCATCACGTATTCTCTTTGTAGTGCTGCTGCTGTGCAGTGAGTCCTACTTATTTTACATGCAACACTGGATTACAATAACTGTTTACTATTTAGAAAACATGCGACGGTAATTCATCTCTACAACATGCCGATAGTGTGCAATGCAAATGTCCTCCCTTCTCACCTCACTCGATGAACGCCATTAATGTATTGAAATGAATACGCACTAATTGCTGACCGGTGCCGTGCGGACTCGACCAAAGCCTCCTAATTGCCTAAAGACACTGGACGGGCACGTCAGAAACTCAGGGCTAAGCACTATAGTTTGAGACTGTCTATAATTGGGTCCTGGCTAACGGAGATTGCTGGTACTGTATGTTGCAAAGCTCAAGGACTTACATGAATCAGCATTGTGTGTGTGTGCATAGAGATTTCCACAGCTGTCAATAAGGCTGGATGGCTGAAAACGGCTCCCCCCCGCGGGACCCCTGTTGTGAGTGTGCAAGCGATCAATCTTCACCCAGCACGCGAGTGACGGAGACTTTTGTGTGTGTTTGTGTGTATGTGTTTACTCCTTGTGTTTTGAAGCGCCTGATCAATCCTCCTCCGCCCCTGACTGTAACCTGTGAATTCAGACCATTAACTCTTCTGCAAACAATAATATAATCATGCATCAGTGATGTTTTTTTAGTCTTGCCATGCTGGTTTTGCTTTTACTGGTGAAGCTTGTGGTGCATTTGTAGTGTTCAAGAACATACATTTTCTCAGGTCAATTTTCAGGCCAAAGCCAAAAGGAATTAAATTGAGAAATTATGTTTTCTTAAAGGAATAGTTCACCCGAAATTGAAAATTTGCTGAAAATGTATGTTCACCCTCAGGCCATCCAAGATGTAGATGAGTTTGTTCTTCATCAGAACAGATTTAGAGAAATTTTGCATCACATCACATGCTCACTAATGGATCCTCTGCAGTGAATGGGTGCCATCAGAATGAGCGTCCAAACAGCTGATAAAAACATCAGTAATTCACAAGACTCCAGTACATCAGTCAACGTCTTGGGAAGTGAAAAGCTGCATGTTTGTAATAAAAAAATGCATCAAGGCGATTTAACTTTAAACAAAAAAGTCCATAATTCATAATATACATTGAAAAAGATCATCCCCTGCTGTCTTTTCACATCAAAATCCACTGCCATATTTGTTTAGCACTGTTTTCACTTCTGACGGCACCCATTCACTGCAGAGGATCCATTGGTGAGCAAGTGATGCAATGCTAAATTTATCAAAATCTGTTTTGAAGAAACAAACTCATCTACATCTTGGATGGCATGAGGGTGAGTACATTTTCAGCGAATTTTCATTTTTAGGTGAACTATTCCTTTAAAGAAAACGAGGCCCTTACTAAGTACCATAATTAAAAAGTATTAGATTATGACGTAAAATGACGATAATTAGATGTAAAATGATGATAAATTAACAAATAATATATATAGTTTGTAAAAAGAATTAAAAAATAAAACAATGTAATTGTTAAACATTTAAAACAATTACATTTGCTGCACTGTATTTAATTTATGCTTTAGAAATATTTGATAATATATTATTATTTTTCAATAATTCTGTAAAAATAAATATACTGGTGTTACTTTAAAAATACCTTTACTGATTACTAAGCTAATTAAATATATTAATTACATTTTATATATATATATAGAAAACGAGGCCCTTACTAAGTACCATAATTAAAAAGTATTAGATTATGACGTAAAATGACGATAATTAGATGTAAAATGATGATAAATTAACAAATAATATATATAGTTTGTAAAAAGAATAAAAAAATAATAAAACAATGTAATTGTTAAACATTTAAAACAATTACATTTGCTGCACTGTATTTAATTTATGCTTTAGAAATATTTGATAATATATTATTATTTTTCAATAATTCTGTAAAAATAAATATACTGGTGTTACTTTAAAAATACCTTTACTGATTACTAAGCTAATTAAATATATTAATTACATTTTATATATATATATATATAAATTAAATATATATATAATTTAAATGTTACCACATAATGCCCATTTTTACAGTAGCTCATGTGAAAAAACATTTTTATAATGTGATGACAATTATAATTGAGAATACTGAGAATGATGACAATAAATAAACTCAAAAGTAAAATGTGCTTAATTGTCATAGTAGTAATAATAATAATAATAATAACAACAATAAATAATGGTCCTCAAAACAGTAGTTTTATTTGAAAACGAAGTTATTTCTTACTTTTCCCCCCAATTTTTTCCAATACAGTTACTTAAGGGAAACGGTCCCTTTTCAGCCCTATATTTGCTTTAAAAATAGGTGCTATTTTATTCATGTTGCAAGAAATCAACCCAATAGGTGCCCAGGTACATTCATGTGAGGAAGGGGTTTTCTTGTGTGGAGGAGGGAGTCGTAAAATGAATGTGGGATGATTTGAGAAAAGACAGATCTGAATGATGGTTCGCCCGCAAAGCCCATTTATTTCTCTGAGGGTGGAGTAATGGCTCTGTGATGTGTCCTACTTCTTGGCAGAAGATAAGTGTTTGTGGGGTGGCGGAAGGGGCTCACTTATTGGATGACTGGGCTGAGGGTCCTGCATTCAGTTGGCCCTGGGGTGGTGTGGAGGGACTCCTGAGGGTCAGCTTTTTCAGGGCTTTCTTCTCTTTAGCCTTTTGCTGTCTGGTGGCTCTCAGTGCCTTCTTCTTCAGGTAGGTCTCCTCTAGCTGATAAAGCATCTCCTTCACTGCCTCCACCTGAAAAGGAAAAGTTCCCCCACATGATTGTTTGCGTAGCTTCATGAAGAAGACGTTTCGAAGAATATAGCTGCTCTTTTCAATGTAACAAAGGCGTACAGTATAATAACCAGGCACTGTCAAATTCCAAAAAAAGAGCAAAAATCACCATAGAAGAAGCAGCCATCCAAAGCATACAGTACAGCTTCTAAAGATGAAATTTGTGTTGCTTTTCCCTTCGCCATAGCTCTCAAATAGTATCTGAATTTTGCATATTTGATTAGAAGACACTGAAAAATCAACAGCATCCTCCATCATTAAACCTCCAACTTTGCATCTTGACATGCAAAATTTGAATGTGGGAATCCACAAATTAGATTTCAGAGTTCCGATGGATTTCGTAGCACTTTTATGATGCTTTTTGGTCGTTTGAGAAGCGTGACAGTCCCTGATTATTGGGGGTTTAAGCTTATTTTATTTTATTTTTTAACGTTTCAGCCCAAAAGAAAGGTTTTTTAAATTTATTTATTGAATTTATATGTTGTTTACATTTCATGTGATAACATTTATTAATGTTAAATCAATTTAAATATATTATTTTAATTCTCTTTATTCCAAGTTTTAATACAATATAAAAATTATATAAGACTAGTTTTTAAAGCTATTTCTACCTCATCAGATCTTTGAAAACCTAAATTATATAATTTAATAATGTTAAATAATATATATATAACTTGAATAAAATCAGTTTAGACGTTACCAAAAAAAATAAAAATTCTGCCAGGACATTATCCATTAAGTTTATAATCTTAAAATGAATGTGGAAAATGTCTTCATATGAACACAGTTAACACCCATTGTGTCCTATTTTTACTGACTTAGCACATTTTTTCAAGTTGTGACAATTTTTACAGTGTAATGAGAACATGCAAAGATCATTTCTCATTTTGTGATCCACTGAAATTTAGAATAACATGAGGGAAATGAATATTTATTTTTGTATGTACTGTTGCTTTAAGACATAAACAAACACACACTATCAGAAGACAGGGACATATCATATTCATCAAGCTTTTGCATTTGAGAAGTTTGCAGATCAACACTGAAGCACATTTTTGAGACCTCGCAAACCCCCCCTCAGAGACTTAATTACCTCAAAAAGAAAGGGACGTGGCTCCCCTTTCGCCCTCTCATTTCTGAGAATATGGCTAGGCGTGGGAATTTATTGTGTCTGTTCTCGGAGAACGGGGAGTGAAATATGAAAGTGAATGCGGGATGAAGAAAAGCTGCGAGTTAGGAGATGGAAAAGAAAGGTGGAGGGAGAGAGAGAGAGAGAGTGTCAGAGGCTCTGCAGTTCAGAAACACAAAGTTATGAGTAGGTGGTGAGTCCCGTTTGCTTATGAATTCAGTCCAAGTGTGTTTGTTTGGAAGCTTTTTCCTTTTTCTCCTCTGGGAACCGACCTGAAAGCTCCACAGCAGTGTTCTCTCTTCCCTCTCTTCCCTCTCGCTCAAATACGCTTCCATTTTTTAATCTTTCCTTCTCGTTTGCGGTCCTCATGTCCGGCTCAGAGCGAGTAATAGGCAAACGGGCTGGCCACCCACTCACAAACACACAGACTCGGCTCTATCCCAACAACAATTAGCTCTTCATTACTGTGCATATCTGTGTGTGTGTGTGTGTGTGTGCAGGGCATGGCTCTTTGCTTCTGCTATCGCTCAGGCATTCAGCAGCGATTCACGAGCTGTCAAAATGCCTATCAAAAATGCCCCAAAACAAAAGGCCTCCTCGTCACAGAGGAAACAGAGCCTTGATCAAAGAGCCCGTCCGCTGCTTCAAAAATATGGTAAAGCTCATTATGCAGTCAGACTGTCAGTCCTGCTGGCCTTTACTGGCCTTTTAACCGTTTACATAGTTAGACACTTATTCACTAGATGGAGTTTGGGGGTCCTAAACTCGGCCCCTGGGAGGCCAGAGCCGAAATTGTTTGAGTATGTGAACAGAAAAATAACATTTCATAAACTTTTATTATTGCTGTGGGGAAAATCATGTAGTTATGGCTAAAATGATGTCTCAGTCAGACCCTTCTCGCTCTGCATGCCTGCTGTAGTCATGACAATCAGTGCACGAGAATCAGCGTTAAAGCTGTGATAAGTCTCTTTATTTATTTTCTGCTGAAGTTAAAAGATGAGTATCTGTATAATAAAATACTTTAACTAAAATTGTCACTTAAAGGAGTCAGGACATGAGAAATCAAATTGGCCTTGATCTTTCGACATATAAGAGGTCTCTGTATAGTCAGGGTAAGTTCCATATTTAATTTTTAAACGTGTTTAATGGATTATACTGTTGTTTAACAACGTATTGATTGTTCAGCTGATGAAAAGGTTTTTCTAAATAAATAAATTGCATTTAAAATGGCGTCTAACCTGACCAAAGTGTATTAAAGCATCCTGCAAGTGCTTAAAATGTCTTCATTATGAACAAAGCATTTATTTAATCAAGCTCCAACAATGGCTCATTTTGATATTATGATCTGTGACGTCACATGGGAAAAATAGAGCAAGACATCAACGAATAGTTAGTTACGTCTTATTTGGTTTTTATAACTCTAACAAGAATCTAAAAGACAAGTATAAGTGTTTTTATACATAAATTCAGTTTTTTTTGTCTGTTAAATTATTTATGATTTTTTTGTAAAGACTTGAAATGTTATTTGAATACTATCTCTTTTTCCAGCAATGTCAAAGCCTTAAAATCCTATACATTGTGCACAAAGTATAATATTTATGCATTTTTATAATGTGCTATTGACTATGTGTTTTTATAGGCTATAAGGGAGAGAGGGATTTAGCAAAAAAATAAAAAAATAAGGGGAAGAGGAGAGAAAAGATAAAAAGGTGTTTTTTTTCTTCTTTTTTTCTTTCCTCTTCTTTATTCTTGAATCTAATTTATTTTAATTTATACATTACCCCGGCTCAATCTTTTATTTTTTTGGTTATTTTCCTGGTTCTTTGTATATTGTTTATATATATATTATTGTTGTTATAATTTGATTTGAGCTGTAAATGTGTGTATTTGCCTTTATGTATGTTAATTTTTTTTTTAAAGGGGTCATATGATGTTGCTAAAAATAACATTATTTTGTGTATTTGGTGTAATGAAATGTGTTTATGCGGTTTAAGGATAAAAAAACACATTATTTTCCTCATACTTTACATTATTGTTTCTCCTCTATGCCCCGCCTTTCTGAAACGTGTCAATTTTTACAAAGCTCATCGGTCTGAAAAGCAAGGTGTGCTCTGATTGGCCAGCTATCCAGTGCGTTGTGATTGGCCGAATACCTCAAGCGTGTGACAGAAATGTTACTCCCCTTACCATATTGTGATGCCGTGTCCCAGCCGGAGCGAAGAGACAAAAACATTAAAACCCATTATAAACGAGGCATTTGTTGCATCCAGTGGGGACATAATTACGGATTTTAATGACTTATACTGTCTTTTTACGTGTTGCATTGCATCGCGCCACGTAAACATAAAACCCGTTTGAATCGTCAGTGGCAAATTCTTTAAATATAAAAACTAAAGACTTACAGTCTGTGAGTCAGAACAGCCGGCATTCTACCAGGATCAGGAAACAGTCCTAAGTTGATGTATTTCCTCAGCGACCAGCACGGATCAGCTTCAGGCATGATGAAGCAGATATCATCCTCTTTTGGAAGGCCAACAAGTAGTTTCGCTTTCACAACGAAGCATACCGCGTCTTCAAGACATGGCGGCGGCTGCAACAATACTACAGCGAGAATAAAAGTTACGCCTTCTTTCTTTGCGTGAACATTTGGGTGGCGTTATGCAAATCTTCCCACATCCTGACGTAGACATGTGGGGGCGTGTTAGAACGAGCCGTTTTAGGTAGGCGTGGTTGACCCCTTAACTTTTATAAAGAACATCTCTTTGGATTTGAGACTTTAGTCTTTGCAACTTTACAGATCTTCTTTATGCACCAAGAGCTTGTAACACTCCAAAGAGAAAGGAAAAATTTAAATCGCATCATATGACCCCTTTAAAAATCAACGAACAGTTACACAGTGTCGCACATAAGCCATGTCCACTCGCATTCAGTCGCTTTAACGGCTGACACCTGTCTAGACTGGATACAGAGTATACAGATGTGCGTAAAATTTCTCTAATGTACTCCACGTGCTAGCGCTGTTCGACACAGCAGGAACAAATGAAGAGTAACCCAGTGTCAGAAACGAGTGGCTGGTTTGTTTTTAATGGCGTCCCGGGTCACGTCGTAGGATTATGTTTGTTCGGAGCATCAAACTTTTTCACAAAGACAGCTTTTGTTGAAAGTTGAAGGAAACAACTAATCTGACAGCAGCTGCATCACAATCCGTAAGTACACGATTTGATAATGCCTTGCCTGTAAATTACAGTATGACATGTTTAAAGCACATGCAATGAGGTTAGCCAGTCATAACAGTACCAATCATAACAATTGCCTTTTATTGGCATGCATTTCAGCCACTGTATTTCATTTCGGATATATATATATATATACACACACACACACACACACGTATCCGTATTGTTCTTGTGTTCAGTGTATATACAAAAGTCCAAAAATATTGTGTGAACATGAATACCTATTAAGTATGCTAAGGAGATCATGCTGCCTGAAGTTTTTCTATTTCAGGAGGTCAAAGGTCACACTTCTGCAGGGTTTTTCAGAAGTCAGATTGTTCTCTGCTCTCAGAATAGACAAGCACCAAAGCGCAGACTTCATGTAAGAACGATTACTCATATCCATTCTCCCTCCTGCGGGAGGAGTCAGAAATAGATGGGATGGTGGCTGGCAAAGAATGAAACGAGCTGAGAGCATGTAGCTTATAGTCATAAATGTGAAGACGCCCATTTGCTGGGGCAGGGATGAGTGCACTTATACTACTGTGGTTGGAAAACAGCCTGAAACGCAGCATCTAATGACTCTCTAAAAAACAAACAAATAGCCAAATCATTCC